GGCACTGTCCCCATGGCTCCAGGCTGCTCAGAGGTCTCCAAGGCTGGAGGTAAATGCTCCCCAGGACACTGCTGTGTGGGAGGAGGATCCCAGAGGATCCCTGGGCAGCTCCAGGGTCCCAGCCCAGCTGAGCTGTGCCCATTCCCAGCCCAGGAGGCTCCAGAGGGAGCCCAGGAAAGGCACTTGTGTCCTGAGGAGCTGCCCTGGCCCCATGGTGTCCCCAGCAGCAGCTCTGGGTCCCAGCCCAGCTCAGCATCACCCCAAACTCACATCCTGCCTCAGGTCACCCCAACAAGTCAGGCAGCCCCAAAATTCAGGATGTCTGTTAAGGTGAGGAGCCATCAGCCCCAATAGGCCCTGAAAATGCGTTTTGAAGGAAAAGGTTATTGAAATTTGTGGGGATTTGAGCAGGTTGGGTGGGACTTGGTCTCATGGAAGGTGTCCCTGCCCATGGGACAACCAAACTGGAAATCCAAACAGTTCTGGGATTCTGTGATTTGCTTTCTTTACCTGATCTACCATCCAAGACAACAAACACCAGAAAGAGCAGCCCCGTCTGTGGAAAATTGGCCAGAGCTACAGACAGAGCTGAAACATCTCAGAGCAAAATTAAATTTGGAGGGGGAGCAGAGAGGGGGGTGTTGATGCTCATGACTGATTTTTGGGGCCCTGGCAGGATTTCCAGGAGGAAATCATCAGCTGCTCTCCATGGGCCTCACAGGAGTGTCCCTGCCTTCAGGTCCTCTCCCTTTTTCAACACAAGATTTTTGGTTTTTCCATGGAGTCAGCAATCCCAGCTGAGGCACCAGGATTGCACAGCACCAGTGAGAGGTGAAAATCAATGGGATTTGAAACACTAGAGCTGGGGAGGGACAAAAGCACCTCCTGCAGTGGCAGGAAAGGCTCTCCTTGCTGCACTGGGGTGATGTGGTTATTGCTTTTCCTTAAACACCACTTTCCTGGGATTTCTGGAAGTGGTTTTGGTGGCACCTGCTTCACTCTGCTGCTGAGTGACTGGGAAGTGCTGCTGTGTCTGACCTTCCCTCTAGGTCTGAGGGAAGGAAAGGGAACAGTTTATCCTTCTGGAAATCCCATGTGAGTTGTTTGTTTGCTTTTTTTGTTTTGTGGGTGGGTTAGGTTTTGTTGTTTATTTGCTTATTTTTGGATTTATTTATTTTTTTACATTTTATTTCTAGATTTCTTAACTGAGCTACCCCAAATCAAAGGGTAAATGTTAAATTGTCCACCTTAATGGCTTATTCAGTACACTCTGTGGATCATGGATGGTCCAGAGGAGCTGCTGCCTTTTAAACTTGAAATCCAGCAGAAAGAGCTGGGAGCTCACATCCTTCCCTCCCAGGTGTTTATTCTGCAGCACATTTTACCTTTATTCTATTTGAGGCTCAACACCAAAACCAAAAGGAGCTGCCCTGCCCTGGGGGATGCTCTGGGGCTGTACCCACCCAGGGATGAGGGAGAATCACAAAGGTGCCAGAAAGGCCCTGTGGGCACCTCCACCCCTCCCTGGCTGCACACAAGGTCAGAGCTTCTCTCTGGCTTCCCAAAGCCAGGGCAGAGCCTCTGGGACCTGAGTTTCTCCATCCTCACCTCCAGAAGGTTTTCCCTGAGGCCTGGCTCAGCTCCTTTGTGCCACAGCTCAGTCCCACATTGACCTGCAAAACAGATTTACCCCCTCACTGCCCTCTGTGGCTTTGGCCTGGCTGAGGTTTCCCCTGTGCAGGCTGATGTGAGCATGGCAAACCTAAAATAACCAACCTAAAATGATGTGAACATAACCAACCTAAAATAACCAACCTAAAATGATGTGAACATAACCAACCTAAAATAACCAACCTAAAATGCTGGGCTGGTTCCTTTCTGCCTTATTTTCTCCTCTTTCTCTTAACCTTACACACAACCAAGAGCTGGAATTACCTGAGCTGAACCCCCCTGCAGTGCCAGTGTGCAGGGAAAAGCTTCTTTCACACCCACTGGGGCTCCCAACAGCCAGCAAGAGCTTTAAACCTGTTCCTGGGAGGAAGAAGAGGCTGGAGGCACCCAGGGACAATCCATGCTGGACATGCCCAGGGAGGTGAAGCATCAGTGGTGCTGTGGTGGCCTCAGGCTCCTGTCAGTGATTCTGACACCACTTTGGCTCCTGTCACATCAATTCTGCCCTCAGGGACATTCTCCATGCAGCTCCTGCCTGGGGTTCCCCTCAGCAGGAGCCCAGCCCTTGCTGCAGGCTCTGGTGACACCCCCAGGGTGGTGACAGCACCAGGGTGGTGTCCTGCCCTGGGTGACAGCACCAGGGTGGTGTCCTGCCCTGAGGACATCCTGCTGTCCCACCCTGCCTGTGGGCACAGCTCTGAAGGCTTTGGGGCAAACACCTCCTCCCTGAAGTTCTTAACTCTGGGGTTTGGTTTGGTTTGGTTTTTATTAATTCCCTCCACCAGGCAAATACAGGCACATTTTTCACCTGGAGAAGGTGGAGCTTGACAGAGTGAGCCTAAAATCCCTGGGGCTTGTCCAAAAAAATGAGATTCACACACAAAACCCCTTTGATTCTTAAAAAGATGGAACCATTCACAGTCTGGCTTTGGGTTGTGTCTGGAGGAGGAGGTTCCAGAGGCTGGGCCATGGTTGGTGACAGCTCTGAGGGCTCCCAGGCCATTCCCAGCCCACCGAGGCCATCCAGGGAGCACAGCTGTGTGGGGACAGGGACAAACCCAGCATGGCTTGGCTCTCCTGGGCTTTGCTCAGGCACTTCTGAGTGGGGAGTGGGGCAGGAGAGCCCCGGGGCTCTGTCACCAGCAGGGAGTGGCTGGTGCTGCTCAGGGGCCACCAAGGAAGGGACAACTGCCCTCGAGGGGCTGCTGGAGGGGAAATTCACGGGTGAGTGAGCATTTGAGGCTTCTAAAGTGCAGTGCAGGTTACATGGTCTTTGCTGTAGACTGTAAACTCCTCAGGACAGACTCCTTGCCCTTATTTTTATTTTATTTTTTTTTTAATTTTTTAAATCTGTAAAGTGACATTCCAGCTGAGAAAAACCTTACCCCCTAAAGAACTACTGCTACAGGAAAAACAGGAATATTGGTGAAAGGAACAGCCTGTGCTTCCCATGGCCATCCCTGCTCCATCCACAAGGAAGTGGCACAGAGCTCCTGCCAGCTGGGGACCTCTGCAATGTCCCTCCAAAATGCCACCTCCAGTGCTGCCACCTGCCTCCCTCCAGCAAAACTCCCATTTGTTAAAGCTGAGGTGTTAATTCAGGCTCAGGGGAGTCTGCAAAGCTTCTGTCCAGGCTGTTGGGTGTCTAGAAAGGGAGAGAGAGGTGGAAAAGTGGCTGGGAGGAAATTTGAGGGCTCTTCTGTGCAAAGAGCTCTCTGAAGAAGCCAAGTTCAGCCCTAAGTTTGTCACTGGAGTGAGACCACCCCAAAGGTGAAACAGCTGCAAAGGCAGGAGCCCTTGTGGGATGGGTGATTGCTCCTCTCTGGGTCTCTTCCCCGGGTGGGAAATTAGAAACTGGAAACTGCCCAGTCCTTTCTTCCTGCAGGACACTGATCCTTTGAGAGCCACCAGCACCACCAGCCAGCTCCATGGTCACTCCAAATCAGGAGACAATTGCAGGGGTGAACACTGCAGGACTTCCACCAACCCTGAGCAGGAGCAGCCTTCACACCTGCTGTAGCTTCACAGCTGTGCCACGGGCACAGTGCTCCCTGTAAAGTTCCTTTCCAGATGCACCTGGGATGTCCAAGAGGCTCCTGATGGACCTCAAGGATGACAGCCTTCCATTGACATCTCCAAGCAGAACCCAAATTTACTCATTTACTGTTCCACTGACTCCAGCCCAGCCCATTTGTATGGACATAGGATATTTCCCCCTGCTGTTGACAGCCATATTTATTATTTTATTTCTTTTATTTTATTTCCCCCTGCTGTTGACAGCCATATTTATTATTTTTAATCTATGCCCATAAATTGGCAAGTAAGGGGAAGCAGATCAATTGGAAAGAGGAGCTCTCAGGAAATCAGTTGGACTCATTAAATGTTTGGCACTCTGTGATTCTCCTTTGGCAATGAAATGCCACTGCTATATTTCAGCAGGGAACATGATACCTTAATGTACAGGAGAACCTCCTCAGCCCAATTCTGGCACTCTTGAGACAGGAGAAATTCAATCATCTGTGACCTGGATTGTATTTTTTAACGTCTGCCAAGCTAGATAAAATACTTAAATATTCACTTTTATATCAGCCCACATGAGGATTTGAGCATTTCAGGTTGTGTAACTCAGCATGGCCTACTTTGGGGAGCGTGCACAGAAATAGGCACATATGTACAAACCACTGAGTGTGCAGCATGTGGGACAGACAGACAGTGTTAATTAGCATGGCACAGTCCCAGCAGCACAGCCCAGAGCAGCCAAGCAATTGGTGTCACTTCTGTTGGACTGCAGAGGTCACCTGAGCAAAAAGCAGGTGATTCTGCCCTAAATGAAGGTGGTGGAGCTGAGTCCCTCAGGGGATGGGCTGGCTCTGGTGGCACTGTGGCATTAATGCCACAGCCTTGAAGTCCTGGAGGTCCTTTCCCAGCTGAATGATCCCTGGTGCTGCTGGGAGGGTTGGAAGAGCTGGGTGAGCCATGGCCAGGCCAGAAATGGTGTCCAAACCCCCCTGAGGTCACTTCTCCACCAGCTCCCCCTCTGTGGGGTGAGGATGGGGGATCCCACCCTGCTACCAGGACAGCTGGAGGGTGTCCATGGCAGTTCTGCTCCCTGGAGAGGAGGGTGGGGATGTTCCCAGCCAGCTGGGAGGCCATGGAGCTGAGAATGTGAGCTGGGTTTGTGCTCTCAGGGGATTTCCTGCAGCAGAGCAGGGTGGGCTGGGGCTGCTGGGATGGGTGTTTGACACCAGTGGGGACGTGGTGTAAGGACATAAAGATGTGAAGAAATGGGGGTGAGCCTTTCCTGCCCCCCCTGGGATGGGTGTTTTACACCAATGGGGACGTGGTGTAAGAACATAAAGATGTGAAGAAATGGGGTGAGCCTTCCCTGCCCCCCTGGGGCTGCTGGGATGGGTGTTTTACACCAATGGGGATGTGGTGTAAGGAATATAAAGATGTGAGGGAATGGAGCTGAACCTTTCCTGCCCCCCTGGGATGGGTGTTTGACACCAGTGGGGACGTGGTGTAAGGACATAAAGATGTGAAGAAATGGGGCTGAGCCTTTCCTGCCCCCCCTGGGATGGGTGTTTGACACCAGTGGGGACGTGGTGTAAGGACATAAAGATGTGAGGGAATGGGGGTGAGCCTTTCCTGCCCCCCTGGGGCTGCCAGCTGTGCATCTGCTCTGCAGGTGCAGCCTGAGTGACCTAAATGCCCTTTAGGGTCCCTCCCAAATTTCCTGTGATTGTCAAGCCCTTTGCCATGCCACAGCACCAGTCCAGCCCCAGCACAGGGTGACAGGGCCATGGGACAGCCCTGAGTGCCACACACCCACAGGGTCCTGCCCCAATTGCCACAGCCCCATGTGACACACACAGAGCAGCTGGGACACGGAAAGGAGGGACTGGATCTCTCAGGGGCCCTGGGCTGCTCTCCAGCTCCCACCAGTGCCACTGTCACATTTTCTGAAAAATCCCTTCACCAGGGTTTCTCTCCTGGGAAGCTGAGAAGCCTCAGAGAAGAATGAAAACAATAATTATCTGATTGCTTCTCCTGTGTTTTGCTGCTTTGGAGATTGTTTATCCAACATTTGAATTGGTTTTACTCCATGACCAATCACTGTCCAGCTGTGTTGGGACTCTGGAAGAGGTCACAGAGTTTTTCAGTAGTATCTTGTTAAACCTTCTGTCTGTATCCTTTCTCTATTCTTTAATATAGTTTAGTATAGCATTCTTTTATATAATATAAGTACATAAAATAATAAATTAGTCTTGTAAGAACATGGAGTCAGATTCTCAATTCCTCCTTCATCCTGGGGACCCTGAAAATCCCACAGACCAGGACTGGCTCAGCTGTGCAGTCTGGGACAGCCACAGAGCCCAGAATGAGTCCCCTGTGTCCCTGAGCCCCCTCCCAGGCCCAGGGGGGCTCCTCAGCTCTGCTGGGTCCCCACAGTGGCTCTGTAGCCACTCCACCTCTGGAACACACAAGAGCAGCTCCACCAGCCCCTAAATTGCCTAAATAAACCAATTTTCTCTTTGCTTACACACTGTGTTGTGATTGTATCTATGTTAACAATGCTCCACCAGAAACTCCACCTTAAATGTTGCCCTGAATTTTTGCACTCCTGAATTTTTACACTGTCTCCTTCAAACCCGCTCCAGCCAAACCCCAGCTGCCTTCCCAAGGAAAGCAGCTCCTGGGCGTTGCAGGGGCTCTGTAAAAACCTCCTGCAGCCATTTGCCTGCATCTCAGAGGGTCAACACCACAACCAGGAGCTCTCAGTGTGCACCAGGAATTTCCTGGCCACCTGCAGGGCACGGTGTCTCCCTGTCCCTCTGGTCACTCCTGCTCCTTGGGTTGTGCAGATGAGTTATTCCCTGTGTCCTGCTGCTTCTTGCCTTGCCCTCTCCCACATCCCAAATCCCTTCTGCAGCCCTGCTCAAGCCCACTCAGCAGCACAGCTCCCAGCCTGGGTGTGGAGGTGTCACATCCAAGGGACAAGAGACCATTTTGTGCCACTCAGGAGGAGGGAGAGCTCCTGGGGGCATTTCACCACAACTGGCCGTGAGGGGTTTGTCACTGGGGGCAAATGAGCAGATGTTTGGGACATTGCCCAACACCAGCATTTCCCAGGAAATCAGCAATCTGCTCTAGTGGAAGGTGCCCTTGGCAGGGGGTTGGAATGAGATGATGTCTTTAAGGTCCCTTTCATCCCAAACCATTCTAGGATTTTGTGAATTCAGCCATCAGCATTTGGGTCTCAGCCATATCCTCCCACCTCTTTTGCAGGTCTGGCTGCTTCTACATAGCCAAAATCCTGCTGAAGCAGCCATCACCTGCAGGGCTGCTGGGAGAGGCAGGAACTGGGCACAGAGCTCAGCTTTCCCTGTTCAGGGACTTGTGATAGAGCTGAACACAAGGAGGGTCTGGGGACACCACACTGGCCAATCCACAGCTGGTCCCGGCCTGTTTTCCACAGGTGGGGAACCTCTCCCAGCTCTCTGCAGGTTTTCAATCCTTCCTGGGATATTTCCAGTATTTTCCACCCCTTTGCTCTGCCCTCCTCTGTGTCTCCTCCCTTTGTAGCTCTGTGAAAATCTTCCATGGATCAGGCTCTGTTTTGATGGGAAAACAGGTATTTTCAGTGCTGAAACAGGGGCTGGTCACCCAGCTCGTCCATCAGTGTCCAAATGTGGGACAGAGGATGGAGCAGGATCAGGCAGGGGGAATCAGTGCCTGGCTCTGAGCTGATCCCAAATGTACAGGCACAGTTTGTGGGGCTGCAAAGTGCAAGGTGAGAGTTTACCTGAAAGTAGCAGATTGTCTGATTCACTTTTTCCCAAATCACACTGAAATGGTGCCATGCTAAGGCCAAGGAGAGCTGGGCTTGGGGGAGCTCCCTGCACACCTCTGCTCCTTTGCTGGAAAAGGCAGGACAGGCCCAGACAAGGCTGGGTCTCCCTGCCAGCCACTCCAGCCTTGCCTTTCCCCTTTGCTCCTAGAAAACCAGCTCTGAGGGTGGATACAGGCTGAGGTCATCAACACCTTGGGCTGCTCGTGCAAGCTGGTCTGGTGGAGGGTGTCCCAGTTCTGGTTGGACTAGATGGGCTCTAAAGGTGCCTTCCTACCCAAAGCATTCCACGATTTTCCAGGGAGCAACAACACAAGGGTGTAACTGCTACTAAATGTGGTGCATTGCTCTGTAGGGAAGGAGGCTCCTGCTCACACCAAGCCTTTGGAGCTGCCTGACCCCAAAACCAGCAGCAGCAGTGTCCCCAAGCTCACAAGGCCACCCCTGAGCTCCCGTGGTGGCACCAGCTGTGCAAACAAGGCTTCTTCTCCAGGAGCTTCTTGTTATCACAATTAACATTTAGCTGGAAAAGCACTGCTGCCTCTGGGGCTCCCTCCTCTCACAGAGCACACCCAGGGCCAGTCTCTGCTCTTGCTCCAGGTGTAAATCTATTAACCTGCCTTCAGAGAATTTTGGAAGTCATTAACTGTGAAAGTGCTACTAATTTCTGCTCTCACTGCCTCCGAGGTGTTTCCTACCAGTGCTGCTGCTGCTGCTGCTGCTGCCCGAAGGGTTTTGGACATAGTGTAAAAGCAAAGCTCCTGACCGGGGCAGCGACGCTGGGGAAGGTGCCCATACACACCTGGAGGGGAGCAGGAGCCCCCTGGGGAAGGTGCCCATACACACCTGGAGGGGAGCAGGAGCCCGAGCCCGCCCAGCCGGGGCCCTCAGTCCGACCACTCGTTCTCGTCCAGCTCCGAGTCGTCGTCGGACTCGCTGTACTCCACGGCGATGCGGCGCGACAGGATGGTGGCCACGTCATTGCCCACGGGCTCTTTCTTGGCCTCTTGTTCCCACTGCTCCTGCACCTTCCGGAGTTGGATTCCTACAGGAAAAGGGGGAAGGCTTCAGGGGGAGTGCACCCAGTGTGCAGCATCTCCCTCAGCTGTAAAGTGTTGAGAGCGGTGCTGCCCTGGTGGTTACAAAGCTATGTGGGAGGATAGGACAGGATGGGTAGGACAAGAGGGAAGGGTTGTAAACTGGGAGAGAGTAAGCTCAAATTGGATGTCAGGAAGAAATTCTTCCCTGCGAGGGTGGGCAGGCCCTGGCACAGGTTGCCAGAGCAGCTGTGGCTGTCCCTGGATCCCTGGAAGTGTCCCAGGCCAGGCTGGACAGGGCTTGGAGCAGCCTGGGATAGCAGGAGGTGTCCCTGCCCATGGAATGGGGTGAGATTTAAGGTCCCTTCCAACCCAAACCATGGTAGGCTTTTATGAGTATCTATCATTACAAAGCTGTATCACAGAATAAAGCTCCTCCTCTGCTTCCACTCAGCCTGCAGATATTGAACCTTCTGAAAGGTTAAATTTACCACTTGACCTGAAGATTTGCAGGAAAGGGAAATGCGAGAGACTTTGGAGCACACCATCCACTACAGCCTGGGAGGAAGCCAGGGTGTCCAAAGGAAAGGGAATGGGTGAGGATGGTGGGACCTTGCCGGGGGAATAAAGGCAGATCCATGCCTGGGAGCTGCCAGCAATCCGTGGGGCTTCATTCCCCCTCCAGCCATGGAGATACACTGCCTTTATTCCCCTGGCGAGGTCCCACCATCCTCACCCATCACCTGCCCACCAAACACTCATCTTGCCCCCGGGTGTCACCAGTGCCACCCAGCTGTGCCACCCAGCCCCGT